GCAGGGGGAAAGACCACTGGGGGAAGGGAGTAGTGGATCACCAGTGAGTGGGACATGGAAACAGGAGAAGCGGCAGAGTCGCTAACATATATCCTCACTAGTCGAGTTGTTCCATTTTAGAAGGCAAACCGGGAATCAGTTCCATTGGTGGGGAGCTGCACCTGCTGGGAAGGAGGCCCAGCATCGCATTACAGAGGATTGACATTTTACTATTTTAGCTTAATCCAGCCCGCCACCATTGATTACCCCTGACTCCCTGAGGAATGGGGGATTGACAGAGCGGGTAAGGGGAGACCCATCCTGAATAATGTCTTGCATTCTTCAATTGCGCTTAAACCCCTAGTTGTTGAGACCTTTTTGTGGCACCCTGGCAGTTTTCCATCACTGATGGATTGGACCCGCACAGGCAGGTTTTTATCTCCAAATCCCCAAGGCGCTTTTCTGAACAACTGGTGTTTTAATTGGATTCCCCTCTTTGTTTACTTGATCCTTACAGTTTATTAAACCACCAGTACTGGGCCCGTACATCAGCCGTGGGCGCCTCACGTTAACCTACCGCGACTCTAGGGGCCAGAAGGCCAAGCACATATCTATCCTCTTTTTTTTTCTTCTTTTTTTTTTTGTTTATTTTTTTAAGGCTCCAGTCTATTGGTGGGGAGCTACACCTGCTGGAAAGAGGGTCCAGCGTCCCCTGAGATACAATGTTGAAATGCAGATAAGGACCAAGATGTGCTGGGAATCGGGCCCAGCGTCCCTGATAGAACTAATGATGATGATGACTATGATGATGATGATGATGATGATGATGATGATGATGATGATGATGATGATGACGATGATGGCACTAGTCCGTGGTAGTCCAAAAGAAAGCTATAAACTATACCAGCAACACCTGTCCTCTCAGTCCATAAGCAACTCTTAGCCTCCCCTGTATCAGACACAACACTTCCAAAAGCAATATCTACTTAGCCAAAACCAGCTATAGCTGTCATTGTTCTCCCTGCCAAGACTAACCCTGGCCCCTTAGGCTTGTCCTGGCAGTCTCCCCCCGTCCGCCACTGGATTGCCTTTCTCCCTCAGTGAATCCCCAGATCTCTCTACCAGGCCACACGCTCCTGCTACAAACAGGTCACAGGGCTGCCCCCCAGCACCGGGCAGCGTCATTATGGCATCGGTAAACCAAGAGAAATGAAAACAACACAGCTGTGTGTTACATGCCCAGTTGGGCGATGTACATATAAACCGAGGATCCGCAATGTGATAAAAAGGACTGAATGGAATCCCAACAAGCAATGTGCATTCCGATACATACAAAATGGTGTTTTATAGTGCAGTGGAAGATTTGGATACAAGTCCTGACCTGACCGGGACTGACCTCTTTCACGTAGTATAAGATAGCGAAACAGAATGCTAGAATACTAAGGACTAGCCCACTCAATGTTTCAACACAGACCAAACATACATCATGTTCATCACAAGGTGTGATGGGGCCTGGCGCTATACACAGGAAGGAGGCACAAGGTCCAGACATACACAGACGAAGAGGAGGGGATCAGACGAAGAAGAGGAAGGGGGAGATGGGAAAGTCGTCAACACCAAGTCTCGTTACAAGTCCCAAATAATCCCTCTTCAAAATGTCTGAAGTCCAATGTCGAGTCTGGATCCAAATGTC